GAAGCATTCCGTCAGTGGTGTGGACAGGATCTCCCTTGCAGAGGGCGGCAATTTCAATGCCTCGCAGAAGCGTTTTACCTGCGGAGAGGTTGGGCCGGACATCCTTATGGGGTCAGGACATCACCAAAAGGCTACTCAGACCGGGGACAAGTCAAATGAAATATCGATGCCTGCCATGACTTTTCAAAGCAGAAAAAATTATTACACCAGGAAAGAATATAAGAGAGCGATTGGCCGCAAGCACACGTTTGTTCAAGACAAGAGCGCTTGTACTAGAAGACAGCGTTTCGTGTGCCATGAATGTGGAAAGTATTTTACCAGATTGTCTAGTCTTTTTTATCACCAGAGACTTCACACTGGAGAAAAGCCCTTTAAGTGCAGTGAATGTGGGAAATCTTATACCGGTAGCACCGGTCTCCTTTATCATCAGAGAATTCACACTGGAGAAAGGCCCTATGAGTGCAGTGAATGTGGGAAATCTTTTAGCAGGATCGATTCCCTTCGTATTCACCTGAGAGTTCACAGTGGCGAAAGGCCTTATAAGTGCCATGAATGTGGGAAATCTTTTACCACTAGCACTGGTATTCGTCATCACCAGAGATTTCACACTGGAGAAAAGCCGTATAAGTGCAGTGACTGTGGGAGATCTTTTACCAGCAGCACTAGCCTTTGTTATCATCAGAGACTTCACAGAGGAGAAAGGCCTTATGAGTGCAGCGAATGCGGGAAATCTTTTACCTGTAGTAGTAGCCTCCGTTATCATCAGAGATTTCACACCGGAGAGAGGCCTTATCAGTGCAGCGAATGTGGGAAAACTTTCACCATGATTAGATGCCTTCGTCGTCATCAGATCATTCACACAGGAGAGAGGCCTTATGAGTGCAGCGAATGTGGCAAGTCTTTTACCATGATCCATTATCTTCGTCGCCATCACAGTGTTCACACTGGAGAAAGACCTTATGAGTGCAGTGAATGTGGCAAATCCTTTACCACGATTTATAGCCTTCGTAATCATCGGAGATTTCATACAGGAGAAAAAGCCTTACAGTGCAGTGAATGCGGAGAATCGTTTTCCATGCTCTATTCCCTTCGTAGTCACCAGAGAGTTCACACTAGAGAAAGGCCTTATGAGTGCCGTGAGTGTGGGAAATCTTTTATCAGTAGCAGTGGCCTCCGTTATCACCAGAGACTTCACACTGGAGAAAGGCCTTATGAGTGCGGTGAATGTGGGAAATCTTTTACCAAGAACCAATCCCTTCTTTATCATCAGAGAATTCACGCCAGACAAGGCCCTTATGAGTGCAGTGAATGTGGAAAAACTTTTACCGGTATCCTAAGCCTTCGTAGTCACCAGAGAGTTCACACTAGAGAAAGGACTTAGGAGTATAGTTCATGTGGCAAATTTTGTACCCAAAATTCTAACCTTATTCTGCACATAAGGCTTCACATGGGAAGAAGGTTGTATATGCATAGGGAAATGTACAATTTTTAAGGTCAGTCTTAACAATACTATAGGAAACTCTGTTTGTCTGACTTGAATCTCATACATTCGAATGTCAAAGTAGGGAGATTCCCTATAAACTTATCTGAAAATCATGTGTGTGTATGTTGCACTTTCTAATTTACACAGGTGTCCTGCCAGATCTATGTCCCCGAATGTGTCTATTGCTGAAGCAATGTCACCTGTACCACCTATACCAGCGGTTCTCAACCTGTGGGTCGCGACCCCTTTGGCGGTCGAACAACCCTTTCACAGGGGTCGCCTAAGACCATCAGAAAATACATATTTTCAGTGGTCTTAGGAACCGAGACACCGCTCCTCTATCCATCTCCAGGCGGGTCCGCCCACATGCAGATACGCCCACATACGAGCACCCGGCGTATTAAAGGGTCGCGGCATTAGGAAGGTCGAGAACCACTGACCTATACGGTGTCCTCAGATGGCATCAGTCACCATCCTCATCGGCGCAGGGAAGCTAACTCTGTTCTCTGATTTGTTGGAGACTAGGACCAGCCTTTTCTTAGATGTGTATTTGCTACCCCTGTATCCGTAGTAAAATGTCTGGTTAATCGTCCTGCCTAATCTGGTATGAGTTTTGGCAATTTTCTTTAACAGAAGGGAAGCGGGACAACAAAGATGGATGTTGGAATTTCACTCATTTTGTGCCATTTTTTGCTTTATAAAATAAATGTTTCTTTCCTGTTTTGGATTAATATACTTTAATTTTTTAATGCTGTACACCACGCAATGAACACTACTTCTAACCCGCACTACTGACATTCTCCATCACTTTCAGAAGACCAGTCATCTGATAAGGCCACAAGCCCTTGCTTTGTAGTGTTCCCCTATTTGCCTAGTTTCCGCTCATGGGTGTTCTTGGGTTGGAACATGGGTCTAAGGAGGCCAGATGCTTTGGAGCCCCAAAGCCAGTGCAGAAGGAAATAGGAGGGCAGTGATCAAACTCCCCGTGCCCTGGATCAGGCATCCTGGATTTGAACTTCAGTTCTCAAATATCCCTGGACTCACAGAGAAACGACGCCTCTCTCTGGTCTGGGTTTCTGGTTTCTCCTGGGTAAAACAAGCATAAGGTGTGTTTCCACCCCTGAGCTCTCGGAGGTGAAGAGCTAAGATTTATTTTTGCAGCCTGTGTTGACTTGAGCAACTCATCCCTCTGCCTGCACAGGCATTCCCAGGCCAGGCACCCCTCACTCCCACAATGCCCACAAGCACCTTTGTATGTTATAGAAAGAAAAGTGGCTTTTAAGAATCTGATGTCCCGCCCTAGCTGGTTTGGCTCAGTGGATAGAGCATCAGCCTGTGGACTGAAGGGTTCAATTCCAGTCATGGGCACATGCTACAGTTGCGGGCTCAATCCCCAGTAGGGGGCAAGCAGGAGGCAGCCGATCAATGATTCTCTCTCATCATTGATGTTTCTATCTATCCCTCTCCCTTCGTCTCTGAAATCAATAAAAATATATTTTAAGGAAAAAATCTGATGTCCCACCAGCAAGGAAGCAGGTGCTGCGGGCCCTGAGGTTTCAGTACGGGGTCCAAACCTGGGAGTCTCCAGGTGACTCCTAGAGCTCCCTGAATCTCGGTTGGCTGAATGTGACGTGAAGCTGATGATGGAGCTTGCTTTGGCCTTTGAAGATCAATAAAAGTAACAGGGAGTACTTGTTTTTGCCAGGATTCCAGTGTGAGCTTTTTGAGCATTTTCTCTTTTAATTCTCAAAACAACCTGAAAAGTGGAAACTAATTTTGCTGAAAAAAGTTCAGTATTAGAGGAATGAAGTAGATTCCCCAAGTTTACACCACAGACAAGTGTCAGATTCAAGGGGCTGGATTTTAACCATTATTTTCTCCAGCATCAGACACAGTCTCTACCACTGATGAGCAGCCCTCACTGGAGCAGGTACAGTATGAGGACCAGGGTGGCTCAGCTGCAGCTCCTGTTTCCATGGTTGAAGTTATGCGTTTCCTCCCATTCCCTTTACATCTCAGAGCACTTCCCTTGGCTTCCCTCCCTGTGTTCAGGGCAACACCATTATTTGTTACCTTTAGCAGTTTCTCCAATGGAACCTTCTCTGAGACTTAGCAACGATTTGACTGCCTCCCCTTTGATCCCAGATTGGAGTTTAACCCTCAGGAGACCTCAGTCATTTGGGCTTGGTCTCTGCACCTTCACCCACATTTGGGGTGTCTGGCTGTGATCCCATCCACTGTGATGAATTTCATGCCTCAGACTTTGCAAGTGCTGTTTGTGGGTGGCATTGACATTCACTCTTTAGGAGAGAGGACAACGGGATGTGAATTCTGGGACCAAATTTACGGAAGTGATGCTGAAGACCTACAGGATCCTGGTCTCATTGGTGAGTGCTCACCTCTCTTCATTCAGGGACGCACTGCTCAGGTGATTCTGTCCTCTCTATCCCTACTGGCTCTATGAGACAACGGTAGTCACCCTGTTTCCCCTGCAGCCCTGATAGTGTTCTGGACCCATGGCTTACTTTCCAATCTCCTGTGTCTGTACTATGGATTTTGGGGTGGGAACATAGCCCTGAACACAAACTCTCACCACAGTGCACAGCACACTGGGCCTCCACTGAGATCCTACTCCAGTATCTAGTTATGGAAAGAGACAAGTACACTTTTTAGGATATAATCCTATATAATAAAACCCTAATATGCAAATCGAATGAACGGTGGAATGACCGGTCGCTATGACGTACACTGACCACCAGGGGGCAGACGCTCAGTGCAGGAGCTGCCCCCAACCCGCAGGCCCTGACCAGCAGCAGTGGTGGAGGGGGGCGGGGCCCAGGACTGGCGAGCGGGTGACACCAGGCCACCAGCCAAGGCATATACCAGTGGGGGCCTCCCGATAGCCCCGCTGGTCACCTCACAGATCGGCCCTGATTGCCAGCCAGGCCTGGGGACCCTACCCATGCATGAAATTTGTGCACCGGGCCTCTAGTCTATATATAAGGAAAATCAAAAGTAGGTCATTTTATTTTATTTATTTTTTAAAAATATATTTTATTGATTTTTTACAGAGAGGAAGGGAGAGGGATAGAGAGTTAGAAACATCGATGAGAGAGAAACATCGATCAGCTGCCTCTTGCACACCCCCCACTGGGGATGTG